TAGGGCCAAGGGATGAGGATGGAGGGGAGGGGCGTTGTCCAGACTTGGCAGCACACTGGCTAGAGGGGCAGGAGGAAAGAAGGAGGGAGTCTAAAGCCATGCCCAGGGTTCTGGCCTGAGGCCTGAGGACAGATCCACAGTCACATGAGGAGCATTTGCTGAGGCAGGGACACTGCATGGGGCCAGGGGAAAGGGAGGAGCTGGAGCGGGGGAGGTGTTGGGCTCCATGCTGGACACAGTGAGCCTGAGTGCCCTACCATGTCAGGTGGGCCACGTGGGGGCAATTTGACATGCAATTCTGTCACTCAGGAGATAAGTGTCTGCTCCAGACCCTGAAGTGGCAGTGAGTGTGCGAAGCTTAACCACTGGTTGTACGTGAAACAAACACACAAGAGGCCGAATGTGGAAGCTGAGTGGGGTCCGCATGATGTGGAACTCCCGACATACACTCCCTGAGATCAGCCACCATGTCATTTCTCATCATTTCTCTTGCTTTATCTTCTACAGGTGCCAGAGACAGGGCTAGCCCTCGTCCTGCAGAGGGTTGTGGGGAGGATCCCATAACCTAAGGGATAGGGAAGCATGGTCCAGGATTGATTGTCCTTATGACTACCATCCTCCTCCCCTTGTCCCACACCCCATACCGCCTGCCCGCCTGCAGGAGGTCCTGCCATCTCACTTGCAAATCTGTCCCTGCGCCTCGTCTCCAGGCCTCACCTTTCCCAGCCTCGCCTGACCCCTTCCGCTCTGTGTCTGCCCTCCTTCCCATCTCTCAGAGTAGATATCCTTTAAAGGGGCCACACTGCAAGTTCAGACCTGGTTTTTCTAGGAAATCCAGTATTTTGAATGGAGCTATCCAACCTGAGATAGATTTCCCTCCCACCCACTATGTGCGAGGGACTGACACTTTAAAGGCTCTTTGGACCCACCAACCAGTCAGCAGCCTGATTTCTGCCTCCCTCTCGTGGGAGGCTTCCATGGCCCCTGACTTACCCTGGAGTACCAACGTCCTCCCCACTCAGGCCCCGTTTGGCGTTGTCCCTGCTAAACACATGTCCCTGGGTCACAGGTCTCTGGTCAGTTGCTGGCTGAACAGCAGCTGCCACCACCCACCCTGGGAACAGCTGCAGGTGTTCAGGGAGAAGGGTGTGTCTGGCCCAGCGGAGGCCCTGGCCATCGCCTCAGAGGATGGCACTGGACATGCTTGGTGCCAGCTTTGTCCGCCAGTGATTCATGAACAGGCAGGAATTAAAGTTCTTCTCTCTACCTCGCCCCCACCCTGGAAAGGTCACATTGCCTAATTTCCTTCTTTCATGGTTGAGCCATTGCACTGACACATTTATTTTTGCAGCCTCCTGGCTTGATCATTTTTCAATTACAGTTTGTCCCTCCAATTCTGGCAGAGGGCTAATGTGGGTCTCTTCCCCATCATAGATCCACATTAATGAAACCCTAACTAGGCATTTCCCTTAGCTGCCTTCATAGATTACCTGGTGCGGGAAGTCCGCAGACGTAAGCCTATTCTGAGCTCAAAGCCTCTTGAGATGCCCAAGCAGGAGCTACCCAAGGAAGCTCCCCAGTGTTCCTGCCTGGGAGTCCTCACTCAGGCTGCTCCCCTCCCAGAAGGCCCTCCCTTTTGACCCTGGAGAATATAAATCTTGCCATCTTTATGAACCATATTAAAAGGAGATAAAATGTATCCCCTTTCAAATTGCCAGGAGTATATATTTTGTTAATAATGCAGTAAGGGGGGATGCCTGGGTGGCTCAGTTGGTTAAGCAGCTGCCTTCGGCTCGGGTCATGATCCCAGCGTCCTGGGATCGAGTCCCACATCGGGCTCCTTGCTCATCAGGGAGCCTGCTTCTCCCTCTGCCTCTGCCTGCCATTCTGTCTGCCTGTGCTTGCTCTCTCTCCCTCTCTCTCTCTGACAAATAAATAAATAAAATCTTTAAAAAAAAAAAATAATGCAGTAAGGGTACAACTCACAAGCACTCTTACAGTCTGTAGGCAAGAGAATAAATAGGCACAAATTTTTACAGGAAACAAACAAATAAACAAAAAAAACCTAGCAGTGTGTGTCAATAGCCTTCAAAATACCTTCAACCTGGGCACCTGGGTGGTTCAGATGGTTAAGCAGCTGCCTTTGGGTCAGGTCATGATCCTGGGATCCTGGGATCATGCCCTGCATCAGGCTCCCTGCTTAGCAGGGAGCCTGCTTTTCCTCTCCCTCTGCCATTCTCTCCACTTGTGCTCCCTGGTTTTACCTTTCTGTCAAATAAATAAATAAAATCTTAAAAAAAAAATACCTTCGACCTTTGGCCCAATAATTCTACTTCCATGAATCTTCCCCAAAGATATAATCAGAAATGCAGACAAATATTTATGCATAGAGAAATACAGTATTATGTTACAGTATCTTTTATATTATTACATAATTAATACCTGATAATAAGGGAATATTTAAATATAATTTAGTATAGCCATTACTATATAGCCACCAAAACTGAAGTTGGTAAAGGCATTTTAATGTTGACATTAAGTGAATCAAGCAAACTTCTAAATTGTAGACCCAGTATGGTCCAAATTGACCTTCTCCCACGGTTGTTTCACAGGATGCTTATAGGAATGCTATAATAGAAAAGTTCCATTTTCCAACAAGGTTGGGAAGTTATTACAGGCATAAACTTTGAGGCTACTGGAAGCCTGGATATGCAAATGAAATGAGAAATTAAAAAAAAAAAGTTAGGCTCCATATATAGGGTCACTGTTTTTATGCAGGGCATCCTGGGGGCTGCTACTCATGAAGCACATTTCAGAAAACCTGGGTGGGGGCACACCAAGGAAAAAATTGCCATGTTGAGAGGGGCCATAGCTACTATTAGTCATGGAATGATTTTATTTCTTCCTCGAACTTTTTTGAATTGCCCTATAAAAATGTCGTTAAGTGTCACGAGAGGAAGCGAGCCACAGGCTCACTCTCTGCCCAGAGTCAGCAGGTGTGGAGTGCTGGAGAGTCAGCCAGAATACAGATTCAAGATGGCCGTCATGCCTGACAGGATTGCTGCAGAGAGAGGGCTATGGAGGCCAGGACAGGGGAGCCGCCCAGGGCTGCCTGGTTGACTGTCGTGCTCTGCCTGCATTAGAAAGGGCATGGGGTGCAGTCAGGCCATGGCACTACCACCTGTTCCTAGCCCACCCTGGGACTGGGCAGAGATATCTCCATGCCTCAGAGACCCTCCCCAGGATGTGAGCCATCTTCCAGGTTCTGGAATATGCTGTCTGTGTATTCTTGATTGCAGACGTCAAGTCCAAGGTGCATTGGATGGGCCCACTTGGATTTGATGCCTTCTTCTTAGTTCCCCACTCTTTTACTACACCTAGACTTTGTCTCCAGGTCTTCCTTTGTACCACTCCCACAACACTGGGTCAGCCTAAGAGCCTGCCCCCAGCCCAACATCTGGTCTCAGGCATGTAGCCAGAGGGATATAAACTTGGTTAGGACCTCAGAAGCAGGTACTGAGCTGTATGTGCAGGGGGGTGTAACAGGATTTGGGAAATACTTGCTTGACACCACCTGATTACCTTCCAAGGGCCCCTAAAATATTCATCAGGCTTTATCAGGCTAATAGGCTTCAAAAAGAGCAATTTTCTGAGACATGAGACAGGACAATATAAAAAGAACATTAAGGAAAAAATTCCTATTCCAAAATGAAAAAGAAAAGATCATTTAGCATCCCTGTTGGTGTTATCTATTCATGAGAAACAGCACATTTAATCCAGAATGGGATGTAGGGAGGGCTCTGATGCCCTCACCTGAGGGTCACCTTCATACAGAACTCATCTGTCTCCACTGACAAAGATGATGGGGGCAATGGAGACAAGGATGCAGATGAGAGACATTTTAGAGGTAGACTCCACAGGGTGCAGAGGGATTTGAGGGAGAGGGGGGTGTGGAGAATGTCGAACATGACTCCCAACGCACTGGCTTAAGGACTTAGAGAAGGGGCACCATTCTCCAGCGTGGCCACCTTCCTGTCTCCCTTCCCAAGGCCCACTTGGTTTCTATTTTGTCTTGGTTTCCATTTTCCATTTGGACCATGCTGTGTGAGTTCAGCTCCTTGAGGTCAGGGGTTATGACTCCATTCTAGCCCCCAATGTCCCTACCCATCCATTAAAGTTGGGTTTTGGCTTCCAGCCCTAAGACCAGGAATCTTGGGCACAAAAGTTGGGAGAGGCCATAAGTGTGAGAATGTTCTGCACCTGTCCAGATGAGGAGGAGCATTTATGGTCCTTCTCTGCCTCCCACATCCTCCAAAGCAGGATGTATGTGAGTCCCCTCGGGAAGACCATCTTTCTCAGAATGTATTTTGCTCAAGTTGAAGGGGCCATGAGGTTACTCCTTGGTTGCTCCTAGAGACAAAGGAATCAGGAGTTCCTACTCTTCTGCATTCCATCCTCCTTCCTTGTCCCCTGTTCTTTGCCTTCTCTCTTGCTCCATTCTAGCCCCTAATTCTCTTCCATTTTCATCTTTCTCTTTCCCTTCTCTATTCCCACCTTCATTTCTACTTTTAATCTAGTATCTTTCTTTTTCTAGCCTCCCCTATCCCCAAGTTTAGGAAAATAATTTCAATTTAACTTTTTTATCTACTAAAGAACTAAGAAAATTTTTATGCAAAGAAAATTTAAGCTGTCACCCACCCTGTCCATCAAGACCTGGTCAGGCTCAACAGCTGCTAATTATGTGACCAAGATGCCCATACTCAAATACTTCTCTGATGATTGGACTCTCTAGTATTCCTCTACCCCGTGGTTTGCCCCATCAAGTTTGATGTGAGCTTTTCTAACCTCAGTTACAGCAACCATTATGTGCATTGAGTTCTTTGCAATAAAAAATTTTGACCCAAAAATGTCTTCCCTCCCTTTCATAATTAAAATAAAAGCCTGTTTGATGTTTCATTGTATATTCAATTTTAAGTGTTGGTTCTCTTTCTTTTCATTAGATATGTGATAAAGAATGGCATTACTACGTCATCAATGTGGAGTTTCCCATAGTTACCTTGTACATGGATGGAGCAACATATGAACCCTATCTGGTGACCAACGATTGGCCCATTCATCCATCTCACATAGCCATGCAACTTACAGTCGGCGCTTGTTGGCAAGGTAACTGCATCAAGCCCTTCTCCCTGGCCCATCTGTGTACAATCCTTGAAAGGTACTGAGAGAGAAAAGGGAAAAAGCAAGTGATATGAGAATTAGCCTAGAAAATTTACTACCCCTTACTAATAAAACAGGACCTATAAAAATAAGGATTAATCCAGACACTAAACTTGTGTAACAATGAAGCCCCTGGGACCAGATTTTGATTTTAGATCAACACGAGCAGTTTCATGATTGCCTCTGAATTGCTGGTGCCTTTTACTGTTCTGGAACCTTCTCTGATTTCAGACTGGGGCTGTGCAGAGAAAAGGCTGAATGTAGAATCCCATATTAAAATTGCCATTTGATTCTGTTGAGTGTTAATCCATAGCCAAGGATCTCCCTCTATCCCCACACAAGTCGTCCAAGCCCCCAATCCTCTTCTCTGGGAGTTTACAAATATGTAGGGCTGTGGGGGGTGGATTGTCTATAGGCGTGAGGCCATGGGAGGCCACTGTCAAGTTCGGCTCAGCTCTGAGCCCCTTCCCCACTCACTAAGGACAGAGGGTTCTTATTGCCTTTCCACTAGAAGTTCTCTGCTCCCTCCTCAGTTTCTTTACTGCTGCCTCTCCTCCAATCCCCAAACTGGAAGGCTAATCTACCCTTTGCAACCAGGAAAACCAGATCTTTGAACATACATTTAGCCTTTCTGCCTTTCACTCAGTTCTGTTGGAGACTTTGTTTTTGCTCCCTTAAAAGGTAGGGTGCTAGGTGTCTGGGTGGCTCAGTTGGTTAAGCATCTGCCTTCAGCTCAGGTCATGATCCCAGGATCCTGGGATCAAGTCCCACATCAGGCTCCCCAGGGAGCCTGCTTCTCCCCCTCCCTCCACCCCTCTCCCCCAGCTCATGCTCAATCTCCCTCTCTCAAATACATAAATAAAATCTTAAAAAAAAAAAAAGGTAGGGCACTTTGAAATACCAATGCAATCACAGAGGGGAAGAAAAATGTTCCCCAAATACACAGATTGCTACTCTGAGATGACCCAACCTCATGGTAACCGACTCAACATCTGACATAGGTCACATGATACTAAGAAGTTCATTGGACATGTCAATAGAACTTGATAAGAACTTTATCAGTAATGGAACTAGAGGGTATCATGCTTAGCGAAATAAGTCAATCGGAGAAAGACAACTATCATATGATCTCCCTGATATGAGGGAGAGGAGATGCAACATGGGGGGTTACGGGGGTAGGAGAAGAGTAAATGAAACAAGATGGGATTGGGAGGGAGACAAACCATAAGTGACTCTTAATCTCACAAAACAAACTGAGGGTTGCTGGGGGGAGGGGGGTTGGGAGAAGGGGGTGGGGCTATGGACATTGGGGAGGGTATGTGCTATGGTGAGTGCTGTGAAGTGTGTAAACCTGGCGATTCACAGACCTGTACCCCTGGGGATAAAAATATATGTTTATAAAAAATTTAAAAAAAGAACTTTATCAGTATTTCAGAATTCCCCAGGAATTCAGAAAAGGGAGACTGTCATCTGGTGAGAGTTCATGAAACTAATGAGTGTAGCAAGCCGCTGATCCAGAGATGGCACAGGAATCATTAGTCACTGAACACAGTCGGGCCAGAGTGCTGGCTCTCTCCTATGGCTCAGTGCCCCAGCTGGACAGCACAGCCAGCCTGTGGATATTCTGGGACATGGCCTGGATACCGCCCATCCAGTGATGTCCTCACTATGAACCTCACCATGACTCCTCCTTTAGAGGCCCTCAGAGACCACACTCAGATCTCTGTCCCCCCAGCTCGCAATGGAAACCTGCCCCCACCTCTACAAGGCCAGTTACAGGCACTGTTGCCCAGTTGCATGTCTTCTGGGCGGGAAAACAGTCCTACCAAAATAAAAAGTACTTTTATAAAGAATTAAGATGACCTCTTTGAATCAGTTAGCATAGGTTAAGTTGTGCTGCAGTGACAATCAAGCCCCAGTTCTTAGGTACTTAAGACAGTTCAGTCTGTATTCACTGCAGATCCTTGAGGGCTCTTCTTTTTTCCTTTAGTCTGAGATCCAAGCAGACAGAGCAGCCCTATTGCTTTGTACTGAGAAAGAGAAAAAAGAAAACATGATGAATGGTGCATGAGCTCTTACAGCTTTCATCCACCAGTGACACTGATCATTTTCACTCCCATTTTATTGGCCTAAGCAATTCAGACGTCCACACCTAACTTCAGGAAAGAAGGAAAGTAAAAATCTACAATGTGTCTGGAAGGGAAAAAAAAAAAAAACTATTTTATGAACAATACTGATGAGCACCATGGCCTATCCACTTAGTCACAGATATTTGACTGTCCTCCCCACATAAAAAATACAACCACCCTTCCCTAAATGAGGCAACCCCAATCTCCCCCTGCTGTGGGCTCCAGGCTCAGTGTCCAGATTCTCTGAGTGATTCCTGGTAACTTCTCCCTCAGGCTGAGAGGCATAGATGGCCCTCTTCCTTAGGACCAGATGTGCCTCCACTCCATCTGGAGACCTGTACACCAATAGGAAGAAATATTTGCTCCCACCACAACCACCATCCCCTACACACACACACACACACTCTCTCTCTCTCTCTCTCTCTCTCTCTTTAAGAGCCAGGGCTGCGAGGAAGCCCTTCACATACCTGGGTATTTATAGTCCTGTGAGAATGAGCCAGGAGTCCCAGCTTGTAGATAAAGAACCTGAGGCTTTCAGAGGTGAAGGAGCTGACCCAAGGTCACCCAGCCAAACCTGCCTGACCCGAAATCTTTAGAGCCTGTGTTCTCCTCATTGTGGCTGGTTGATCATTTTGTTGATGGAACTATGTGTTTGGGAAAACACAGGAGCTGATGTGGAAAACTTCTGACACATCTGTCCATTCTGGAATCAAAAACCCACAGCCACCCTGCATTCCCCTTGCTAATCCCTGGCTGTCCACTTCCTTAAGTGACCCTCCACAGAAAAAGGAGAAAGAGTTTAGGCTTTAGAGTCAGAAAATTTGGAATGTGAGTCAAACCCGCATCCTGCTACATCCTAGCTGTATGGAACCAGCAGAATCTGCAGCTTCCCAGAGCAACTACTCTCTCATCTATAAAACCAGGCTAATACCTCCCTTGTCCGTGTAAGGAAGAGGTGATAGTTAAACGGGGCGTGTTTGGCATGTTTCACTGGAATAAATGTATCCATTGGAAAACACCTGCTGGTCCCCTCCTCCATCCCTTCTTTGCTCCTTGCACTTGAGCGCCCCATGGCAGGCAGTATGCAGATAGGGTATGCTCTGGCTTCCGTGATTCCAGCCTCCCCGTGGGTCCTTGTGTGCACAGATGTTTCTTCCCTTCCTCAGGATGGACCCTCCCACATGGACCCTGCTCACCCAGGTCCATCTGCAGGTCAGAGGGAAGGTCAGTGAGGCAGGAGAATAGCCAGTCAGAAGACGAGTATTGCAACATGGCCCTTGTCGTGTAGGCGGGACCCTGATCACGCTATCTTTCAGGCCATGGAGATTTGGGTATCTTCCCCAAGAGGAAAGATGATATACTGGCACATTTTCAGCATAGGAGACAGTCCTTAAGAAGCTTGAAACTTGAGCTTTCTAGGATAGGTGAGAGTTCAGCAGGAAAATAAGGAATCTTCACAGAGGCGTGGGCACAGTCAATGTCAGTGCGAGGTACAGGGACTGGGATGGGTGCAGAAGAGGCTGGGAAGAGGAGTTGCAACCCATCATGACTGCAAGATGCCAGACTGCCTCCTGAAGGAGCTTGGGTTTGCATCAAGACTCATCCTCCTTGGATCCATGCTTTGTCTTGGAAGAACACGTTAGAAGCCCTTTCTACAGGATGCAGGGCTGTGAAATTGACAGCCCACGATGCAGCCATTATTGGGCACATTGCTAACTTTCTGAAATCCACTTACATGCATATTCTAAGCCCGCTGGGCGAGGCTCTAATTGCCTCTGGGCCTGCGACTGTGGGGAGCTTTTTAGGTGCTTCTGAGGTTGGCAAGGAAACTATTTCCCATTTGTGAAATTTCCAATTGGGGTTTCACAATGGGGATAGAAAATAATTTGATAGCAGCTGCTTGTTGGATGCTCTCGGGCCCAGACTCCAGCTCCATGGCTGGGCAGGGCTCCGCAGCCCCAATTAGCCTGCTGTGTCCTGTTGGTGAATCTGAAAGCCAAAGTAATCAGTGGAACATCATTTTCACTGGTAGTTTTTCTAATAATTAAGAAAAAAAAAAGAGACTTCATTTACACTTAAGAAATGTTGCCGGTATAGCCTCCAGCACGTATCTTAATCGTAGAGAAAGGCTTTTGCAGCAGGATGGACCTCGCATGGTAGAAGGGTCCTCTTCCCCTCTGCGGCCGATGCATACTGCCCTGCCTTCACTTCTGTGCTCTCAGGATGGCATCACACCCTCTCAGTGCCGAGCTCCGTGTGGGCCAACTCAGAAACTGCTGCCTTTAGGCAAATTTCAGGTTCCTTGTCTCTCTCTGGGTCTTGTCAGGGGACAAGATCATTTAAAAGATGAATTAATTTGCCCTTTGCTTTAGATGTCCTATTCATCCATTTCTAACAACAAAAATCCAAGTTCTGCTGATGTATTATGAAAGTTTTATCCTCACACCGGCTTTGCCCCTGGATTTCTATACTGGGCCCGCCCACATGGGGACTGGGAGGCAGCTGTCCCATGACCATGTCAGACCAGGACCTTAGGGAGCCCCCGGGGTTTCAGGGTGGTGCCCCAGCAGGTAGAATTCTGGGCCACCTCTCCCCTGACACAACTGAGGCATCTCTGTGTGTTGCATCGAAGTGGCTAACCAGGTTTCAGAAACACGACTCTTGGCATGCCGTCAAGAAACCACCATCTTGCTCCCTCCCTCATCCTTACTACTCTTGCTAGATCTCACTGCAGGCTTCCCTACCTGTCATCTGTCTACAGCAACCACCTCATCCCTATTTCTGCTGGAGACTCTCCTTCATGCTCCAGACCTTAGC